CTACCATACTAGCGTAGACGAGGAGATACACTTCCTGTCATTTTTGGAGTTTGTTAAACTTTGATTGCCGTGGACGCGGCGCTATGCGATGATCTCTCGAAGGCAGACCAACAGGGAAGACACGGGATCACGGGGAAATGCATTTAGAAACCAAAGGTTTTATTTCAAATCATGTGCCTATCCGCCCAAAATCTATTCGTGCTCTGTTTCCCAGTCCTGTTGATCCTTTTGCGCCTTTCCCTGCTATTTCCGTCGCCGTGCTTAGCGAGCTGACTGAATCAATTGTGATGTACCAAAGAAAAGTTGAAGAGAAACCGCGTTCATGCGTGGACAAGGGCCTGCGCAGTTTCGCTGCGAGTCTCGCTCTCGCTGACAACGCTTCCAACCTCGGACCAGCTAGCGGGAGTCATCATACCCTCGCTCTCACTCAGCACATCGTAGTAGCGGCTGTTGTCACCGGCTCTAGACGAAGCGGCATCGTTGGCGACGTCCTCGCCGGAGCCAGCGAGGGAGGCCGAGTCGGTGGGGGTGAGTTCGCCTTCGCTAACAAGCTCGGGTTCGGACATGGGTACGGGAGGCGACATGGGAAGCGGTGAGTAAAAGTTGGAGGGGCTGGACCCTTGTGCCCAGGCTTGGATGGAGGCATAGGCTTCTTCGCGGTTCTCTTGGCCAGCAGTCATGTACTCGTCGGCACCGAGCTCGCGGTCGAGAGTCGTGGACTTTTCAGATTGGGATGAAGTTTCAGAGACGTCGACCAGAGGGGGCATTTGGGCAATGGTGGCGGCAATGTCTCGGGGGCGTTCGTCGGCGTCGCGGGTGGTGGCGCTGTAAATGTCTGACACGGCCTCGTCGTGGGCGGGGGACAGGGAGCTGGGCTCTTCCATGACTGGCAAATCTTCCTGATCGATCTGGTGTTCGTCGGCGAAAGGGTTGGCGTAAAGCGAAGCGTTGAGGCCGCGGACACCCTCGGGACGGCGTCGAATAAGCCCCTCGTCGTTGTAGGTGGTTGCGCCTGTGTTGTAAACGAAGGATCCCTTCTCGCCACTCTTGTCCTCGTGCAAAAAGTCATCGAAAGATCTGCCCCGCGCTGGGCCTGGTGGCGGCAGCTCCCGCGATCCGGATTCTTCGGCTTCGATTCTCTCCTTCTCCTTCTTGGCCAAGGCCACGGCATTCCAATACAAAATCTCCTCGCGCTGGCGGCGGCGTGTCTCGTCATCGGCGTCGACTCCGGCTTCAGCCCCTCCACGGGACTCTAGGAAACCCTGGGCGTCCTCGGGTCTGTTGAACATGGGCGGGCGGTCGTTGGGCTCGAAACCCTCGCCCAAAGAGTGTAAGGCCATGGCGATGCGTCTCCGGACATCGTTGGCATATCGCTGAAGTTCTGGTGACTCGTAGATGGCAATAGCAGCTGCAACGGCAACAGACACAGCAATAATGCCGGCTGAAGCCAGGGCACCGTTGTTAACACCAGGCATCGTCAAGCGTCGAGGCAGTCAGAGTTGTAGGGAATGAAATGGCGAGAAACGGTGAGGTAGCAGGGAGCGAAACAGGTTGGTTGCAATTTTGCAAAAAAGGCAAAAAGAAGCAGATGAAATAGCAACCCGAGAAACGAAACTGTCAAGCTCTAAATTGGCCACGCGCCCGAACAAGTCGGGATTGCGTGGTCCTGGATGCCATTTGCCACAGGCCTGACCACCTCAGGCAAGCAACGTGATTCGCAAGAGCGCTGACGCGGGGTAGTGTAGGTACGTGTATCAGTAGTGTACTGTGTAGGCTCCGAAGGAATAGCAGAACAGCAGATCGTCGGGCGGTGTTTGGGGATGCGGGCATGGGGGGGATTCGGGGGAATTTCCATCCATTGAGACGGAGGGGCGGTAGGCGGTACATGGAAGCGAGAGGCGGCGACAAGGGGGTGGTTGTACAGATGAATGTCACTGACCTTTGGCGGCGATTGGCACAGGCATTTCGAGCAACCTCTGATCAGCAGGCCAAACGCACTTTGAAAATAAAGTATTGACCAGAGGTTGTAGATGCGAAAAGAAAGAGTGTGTGAAGGAAGTACGGTATGTAGGTGAGGGAAGTGGGAGGAATCGGAGCAAAGTCAAAGGAAGCGAAGAGAAAGGGAGATGGTGTAAGTGAGAGGGTGCGTTGCGTTGCGGCAGGCTGGCGACTTAGATACCTCTCTACGACGGTACCTTTCTTACCTTTTCTCTCCTTGTCTTTTCCCTTCAACGGTGCGGGTTCTCTTGGGGGATTGCGTATTCCCTTACCGCAGCTTGAGCTCCCTCTCGCCGCATATGGACCTTGGTAGGCATGCCGCAGCCGTCGGGTACCTAGAGATAGGTCGGCAGGACGGGAGGCCTTGAAAGTACCTTGACGAGCGCTCTCGGTGGCCCCGTACTACTATTCTTCCAGACCCAGTACCTCTTCTGCCCTCACAAAGTCGGATCCAGGGCTGCCGCAAAGGGGGAAGGCCAGGAACGTCCAACCAATAGCCCGCTGCTGCTTGACCATACTTGGCGGGGGATCCCTGGACGTGACTTGCGTAGGGGGCGTCCGAATGGCTTAGCACCGATAAGATGGTGACAGTTGGATTTTTGGGTTGACTTTGGTGCCTCGTGGTCCGCCTCGCCGCGAGACAGGCATGGACACTATCGTCCGAGTCCGCGGCGTGCGGTCAAACGTCCAACGAGTCACCCACCGCTTTGCCAGAGAGCCTAGACTTAGAAGAGGGCAGAGGGGCACCTGCGCGTGCTTGATGGTCTTAAGTTGGTCCATGTTTGGGGGCGCCGCCGCATGGCAATCCAGGCACCCACTCACGTCGCTTGACTCCCTGAAGGACCTTGTGGATTGTGGGTTGTACTTGTTGCCACCCACCGCAAGCTTCATCACCTATTTGCTGCCAGAGCCTCCAGCTGCGCCCGGCTGGAGGAAGCATGGCGTCGTTCATTGTCTCCCAGCCAAGCTGGAGGTGAAGCCTCTAGGGTGCGGCATCCTTCCGTCGGTATTGCGAGAATGCGATCCGCGGCGCGAACATCCCGCTGGTAATCGCCGAGCAATGAGCAACCAAGCCGAGATAGCACTCTCGTGGTCGAGAACGAGACGGGCATGTCCCACAAAAAATCTGGCGGGGGTTGAGGGCCGAATCGCCCGCGTGACTCGCTAACGCAAGGTCGGTGTGCAAGCAACGGCTGTCACGATAACATGCTCCGGTACTTCATGCAATAATAGTTTGTTGAGCTGGTAGGGCGTTGGGGAGAAATCCTCGATCGACGTAGCCTTCGAGAGCCACTCTCCTCTTCTCCTCTTGATCAGACCGGTTCTGGCGCTTCGCAGCTTACAGATCGGACGTCATCCGCCATTGTAAGATGAACGCGTCGAGTTGCACGATGAGGGTTTCAGTCATTCTTCTGATGTACGTCGGTATACGTCTGGAGGAAGGCACCTTACTCTGTAATTGTTAGTGTGCTCTTACTTGAGGCTTGGTGCTGCCGCCCACCGGCTGCGGGTCGCCACTGAATCCGGACATGGGAATCCACCTTGTAGTAAGGCAGCAGGTCGGCTCCGGGAACTGTTCGGCCCCGCTCCGGCTGCAATTCCGATTTTGGTACAACCCTGTCGGCAGAGCGGCCCAACGACCCATCCGGAGGGCCAAATCAAGAGTACGAGGTCCAAGAAAACGCTTCAGTCTTGCTTGATGCAACTTGCTCGCGGCACAGCCTAGTTCCCCTGCCGACAGTTGATCAGCGACAGTTTACCATACTTCAGTGGCCGTGATCCACCGTCCTCAATCCCCCCGTCCTCAATAACATGAGAAACTCGCTAAATGGTTGATTTCTATGGCTTAAAAAGACACGCATACTCGTTCGCAACATACTTAGGCCAAGGATCATATTTCATAGCGCCCTGCTCGTGATATTGCAACACCTTCATGGCTCGATGTGAATGGTTTTTATGTAGATATACTCCCAATTTGCGCGTACTAGTGTACATACTCACTGAGATTATATTTCATGGAGTACTGGCTGGAATCCCCAATCTGCTTGCTAGCGAATCTTGCCGAAGACTACACCTGAGCAGCCTCACCAAGCGAACGCCAAAGATCTCCATAGACGAAGACGCAAACAGTAACATTAGACTGGCCAAGCAAGCAAGTAGATGATTCTGGCTGCAAGGCTACTGAGCTTGAGGTTTTGTGTATTGGAAATATAAGACGTGACACAAATAGCATTCCAGCTGTTGACTTTCACCATGTTGGATTCCAATGTGAGGGGCAATTACCGACTTTTGGAAGAGGTTGTAAAAGGATGGTGATTCTGGCGACCGACATTTGATAAGCTTATCTTATGAACTCAAGTAGTCGCGCTGAGGGAAAATCTGCGCCGAAAGTAAACCGAATGCTGTTTGAGGAGTTCTTCGGTTGTATATCGTCGAAGAGCACTTGTGATATTAGCGTCACTCACCGCCGAGATACACCTGGGTGTCGACAACTTCATACATACCTTATATGTACGTATGCTTGTGCTAGCTCTCTAGCACCATAATAGGTGCTATATGGCCGTGAATTGGAACCCAAAAAGATCGGTATCACTCCCCGAGCTTAGCGTGACCTCCATGACAACCTCAGATGCCCGCTCTATCTGGTCGTATCTGGTCCTTAACAGGACTTGACGCTATACCCATATGTCTGTACAGATTTATTCTTGTGCAAACCCGGAAAGCTGATGTAGATGCACCTTGTTCCCGCCATTAATGAAGCGAGGAGGAAGAGTATGTAGTAGAGATTCACATTCAGCGCCATCCACACTACCAAAATGATCCTACTAATTCAAGTATTCTGGCAAGGCATCGCAGGGCAACTATCTAACCACCGGTGCTTATCTACGACAGACTAAAGTTCACATCTCTCTGCTGCTAACTTCGACTGTATTCATACCTTGCTTATCCATGCTTCCCTGCAGTCAACTAGCTGTACGCTATCCTTCGCTGCTCTAGACGGCATGAACCACCGGGTGAACATCGAGCTGGGAACCATCAGGGCGTGTGGTAGTATAATAACGAACCGTAGTACTTCAGAAGACACCGCAGAAATCTTAAAACGCTCGTTTGCTTGTAAGTATTCGTGATGTTTGAGGTGAGGTATCAACGACTGACAAAACCCACTGCAGGTCCACCACATGCAATTATCGTGAACCCACCAAAACCACAAAAACATACAACACCAGGTATTCGCTGGTCGTCACCGACCCAACTACTAATCCGGCCCTCATTGGCTTATCTATGGGAGAGCGGACGGGATCCCGAGTTTTCCAATGGGTATGGTCGTATGTGATGATTCGATTCGGGGGAAGCACCCATATGGTGAGATTGAGGAAGGTTGAAATGGATGTTTTTCTTGGTCAACACAAAGAGATGGCCGTAAGAATTGAGTTTTTCTCAGGATGGAAGCTAGCTTATGTCCCAACTGGAATGTAGGCCTTTCGTGTAGAGTCGACAATTGCTCGATTGTCCGCTTTGTCGAAGCCTGTCGTGTTATCATCATCTTTCTACTAACGAAACATAGACCCGTAAGACTTGCATACGCGTTTGGCGGCCGAAAATATAGAATTTCAAGAATCAAACAGTTCGACCTCGTATTAAATTTCAAGAGCTTTCATCATCCCAGCAAGTAATACTCGCCAGCTTGGAGGGGGGTTCGCCACAGGAGTGATATGTCACCCACTGAACCCCCTCAAAGGCCGACGGCGCCCTCAAATCGTCTCGCATGGCTAATGGGATTCGGAAAACAATCTCTCAAGTCAGAAATCCGTCTCCGTGGCATATTTTACTCGGCAACTAACTGATGGCACTGTCTAGTATCCGACCCCCTAGCTACTAAGAAGCAGACGAGCACTGGTGAGAGTAGAAGAGCTACCAATCTTCATCTTAGACTCGTCCGCCGGACCACGGCATTATCCGGCAACCGGACGGTCCACGACGATGGAGACAACGGATTTTTAGAACACCGTCCATACTAGGCCGTAAGGACTGGCAAATCACGAAGTCGGCGGTCAAGCAAGACCGACCCCGACAGACATAGGAATAAGTCGGCCAATTTTTTCTTTCGTTTGCCGCACTACGTTGTCCACCGGTTCTCGGGACCGACTCGGTGCTCTTCGGTGAGGTACGCTTACTTGAGAGCAGCGGGGGCTCTCCGAATCACGAATTCGCTGCTCAGACGTGGAGCTAATGTAGCCCTACACGATACAATGTACAACATGGCCGCCCACGGCTCTAGCGGGCTCGAGACTAGCGGGATCAAGAAAATGCTTGTATCATGGCCAACCGGTGGCGTTAGATGACTGTTGCTCAGGAGCAGGCGACAAACATCGACCCAAAGGAGTCTGGTGGAGCTGTGTTCTAGAGGAAGCCGTCGACACACCGTCTGGATCAGGGTCCGCCGGACGAGATCCACCGAGTCAACGTGGGATCAAATTTTATGCCCTTCTCAATAATCTCATGCTGCCATGCATTGCATGTAGAACTTTCGTGATCGGATCGGGATTCGCTCTCGCTGACTTTGGTCTCCGGAAGTGCCGGATGTTAGGCTACCCGCGGGAAAGCGTCTTTTTGATGGGTTTGACGGATCTGGTCAGTGACGATGTACACAGTATGCAGTTTAGAGTGAGGTATAGTGAAGAACAAGTTCATTGCCCATCTACTTCCAGAAGAAATAAGCAAAGAAGACAAAATTGTCAGCTGCGAGCTGCTCTATACGCCAATATTTTCCAAACCTCCGTGCAGACCCTGCTTTCGCCCTTCGCCCTTTCGCTCCAATGCACACCGGCGTGTTGCCATATACGTGCTTCGAGTAATTTCTCACGCACACCGGAGCTGACGGATAGCATGCCCCCGAGTATTGGTTGTGGAGTTGAATATCTTTGCCGTCGGCTCCGATCAGAGGTCGCACGTTGGTCCTCAAGGGGTTTCCTATTCCTCCATATGTCGTGCCTATGTGACACCGTGATTGCGCCGTTTAAACAAGTGGTAGGCTTTCACCACCCTATCCCGTCACCGTATTTGACCGCGCCGTCTTCGAGATTTTTCTTTCCCTGCCCGACTTTCTTAGTTGAGATAGTGTTAAGGCCTTCTTCTAGTGGGAGCTGCTGATGGTCGAAGCAGATGATGAGCTGGTCTGTGAGTCGGTAGAGTTTGTCCTCGTCGCCTTCGTGCGCTCGCTTGGGGACCGTATTAGTGCGAAATGTCAGAGATCGAGCACTGTTGCTTCACTCACTACGTAGAGCGGTCCTGTAGATGACACTCATACTTGGCACTGCCAGTCTTGAACTGGAAACGGATGCCCTTGTTCTCCAGTACGGTCTGGAGTTGACCCTTCTGAGCGTCGGCGGAAGGCATGTTGAAGTTTGCGGAAGAGGATGCTCGAGGGTGTTAAGTTGCGGTTGTCTTTGGAATGTTACGAATGGTGTAAAACGATTGTCGGTAGACAAAGTCAGCAAGATACTGTTCGGAGAGAGACAATGGAGGCAAAATGAAGGGAGCAGCAGCTTGTTTATATATTACAGAGCAAGGGCTTTCGCAACACTAATACGGCTGCCGACTTCTCCAAAATCGTTGGCCACCCGCTTAGACTCGCAACAGACCTGCGCGGAAGAAAAGGCCCCAGCACTGGCGAACCCCAAGGTTCGCCGATTCGGGGACGAGGACTACATATTACATGGAAGTGGTCCACCCCGCAAAGATCCACTGCTAAGGCAAGGAGGGCAAGGGAAGCCGATATGAGCGATATTCGAATTTGAGTTGGAGACTGGGAATGGCCGTCAACCCCGAGTTTAATCGAGAGATGGTAGGTATTTGTTCATTTAGCCTGCATGGTACCCCATATTGCTTAGCTTACGGACCACTCGGTCACAGTGTATCCCAATGCTCATCTACATGCTCAGGTACCAAGCACCAACATTGGGTCTTAGTCTTGAAAGGACCTAGACTAGATTCTGGAGTATTGTTTCTGCCCCCCCATCCCATCGATTCGTAGTAGGGTTCTTGGGCACGCGACATCCTGTATCCGGTACGATGGTTATCAAGGACCCCATTAGGATCGACACTCGGTTTTACAACACCAAGAGGTATTACTCGGGCAAAGTCCTACTTCGAACCAATTGCTGACTACCATCTCTGCGCGTGATGTACAATACACCGCCGGGGCTTTCTTCCTGGGGCAGCTAGAGATGACCGACCCCTTTCTCGGTTATCCCATTCGCATTCCGTGAAAGCTCTACAATCACTTGTCTTCGGCTTGCCCTCTGTATCGTAACACGGCAGTACCCGTGACTTAACCCTTATAGCTCCTCTTGACTTTCATACTCGTACACGTCCAACAGTTGATTACAAGTCGTCACTCTCCAAGCTTACGTTTCCCTTCCTTCTGAGTGCGACAAAGTACGCCTCTTTCGAGTCCTGTGAACGAGTCAGCGTATTCCCATACACAATGTGGCTCTCTGTCCCTACACTGCGAGATGACTCTGGCTTCTCTCGAAAAACCTTTGCAAACAAGGTCTTCAGCTTCTGTTCAAACTCTCTGTCCTCGGAGCCTTGATAGAACTTGCAGACAAAATGCCCGCCGTTCTTGAGTGTGTCATTGGCGAACTGCAGTGCCGCTCCGCATAGATCCTTGGTTTCTCACCTCAGTAACTTGATAGACAGCAGCAGGGAAGAGAAAGATACGTACCATACTCCCAGCGTGGTCTCGGAATGCCATGCCGCTCGTGTTCATCATCCTATGATAGGGATTACTAAGACTGTTCACGCCGAATCCACTGGTCTGGTCCCAAGGTGCTGACATGTCACTCAACACAATCTGGTCCTTACGTCAGTTTGCAACGTCCTAAAAGATCTTGATGAAGGGGGAATAACTGGAAAGACTCACATCCACCAATCGACCTTTCTTAGCTTCCGATCCATCCTTGGCGGTACTTGAAGTTTCGGACGCTGCTCTCTCCATGTCGATGTAGCTCGGTTTTTCCTCAATGACTGTAGCCTCGCTATCCGCAGGTGATTCTTCTTCGTCGTTCTCTTGTTCTTCATCTTCTTCTGCTGGCAGTGAGTTCCGCTTGCGGTGCCTGGCTCGCTCGAGATAGTCCTTCACCATGCCCTGGACGTCGGGTGAAAGGAAGTTGCCTTGGATTGTTGAGACGCCCTTGGGTGGCTGTGCGGGTATGATGTCGATGCCCAGGATCTGGCCATTTGGCTTCGTGCGCTCGACAGCAACCTGTTTAGCGATGTTACACGTACTCTCCCCTGACGCGCGACTCTCCGTTCATCTAAGAAGTCTTCTTAAAAACCGACGTACCTGAGACCAACTTCCTGGAGCATACCCCTTCATCGCTTTCTCAGCCTCATTGCCTCAATGACTCTTGAAAGGGACATCAAGCTACTCTCGGAGACTCACCAGATCTACTACCGTCTGCCCTTTGCGAAATATCTTGTATTTGGCATCCATCTACAATCTTCGTTACCATTTTTTGCCCTTGATTGACTTCATAACAAGATTTGATGGTTTCGTACCTCTAGGAGCTTGAACGCAGCCCGACTCTTGAGCCCCTGCACCTTGGCCTCGCGGGCGAAAAAGTCTTTACCCTGTCTCATCTTCCACCGCGAGTTGGAAGAAGATGCGCGCGTCTGCAAAGTCTCAGGAAAGCTTTTTTGACATTGCTTACATGTTGTGAATATGCTGGAAGAGGGTCGGCGCAAGGCAGCGCTCCACAGAGGGCGATATGCTGCTTCTGACATTGTGCGGATGTGTTGTGACAATGGTGGTTAGGATGAGGTTGGGCGTCGTCTTCTCAGTTCTCATATGACACGTCAAGACTGTTGATAAGAGTCGGCAGATTTGACCACGCTTGAGCGTTCAAAGCCGCTTTGTCGCCCGATGCTCATGAAATGAACGATGAGAGACGTTGAAGGGAAGCTTCTGCAATGGAAGGTGAGCTGGGAGACTTTGTTGGCCCAAGCTTCTCGGATGCGACTAGGGGTAAGACTCTAAGGCGACCTCAGGTTTTGACAAGGTATTGGCTTCACTTCTTTCCGCGTCCAACATCTCCTTAGGCACAACTGAAAGCCCTCGGAGCGCTTAATTACACGGATACTTGCAACAAAAATCATTGATCAGGACGCAAAATTCTGGCAAAATGGCAACCGCATGCGGTCTCTTAATTGGGGGCTTAGAAAACCCTACTTTATCTTTACATAAACCTCACAGACTAGCCAACCCTGAACGTAAAAACAACCGACCGAAAACGCCGCCGATGCATTGCCCCTTTTGACTCCTCCCGTTGAGCTGAAATTCCAAGGAAAAGCATTCTTCGCTTGAAAGCACAATTATTCAAAGCCAATCACGCCAGGAAGCTGGCACCGACTCCCCTTCTGTCCTTCTTGAGCGGCGAGAATGACTTCTTGCCAAAAGCGCCAGCGTTCCTCACCATGCTAAGATGAGTCTTGCCGAGAGCTCTGCCGGCACCCATACCAACCTTGCCAGGCCGCTTGGTAGCAGCGGGAGGCGCTTCGCCGTCGTCATCATCGAAGAGTGTTGCAGTTTCACCGCCCAACTTGCGCTTCTTCTTCTTGACTTCTTGTTCGCCCTTGCTAGCAGCGGGAACCTTTGCGGGAGCCAGATTCTCTGGCTCGTCAGAGTGAGGCTCCTCCAGCACCTGCTCAAGAGGAGCACTTGATGGAATGTGAGGTTTGTCAGCCGCAGCCGAGACCCCCTGCACAGGCATATTTGGCGATGTTTCCGTCAAGGCCTTCTTTGGTCGGCCACGGGGCTTCTTTGCTTCACCATCATTCTTGGATTTCGGCTTTGCTTTCGTTGTCTTGGTGGGGGCAGGCTTATCCGCGGATTCTTCCTGCTCTTCAACCTCCTCCAGCTGTTCTGGCGCATCTGCAATCTCGACCTCGGTCCTAGTATCGATCTCGACCTCTTGGGAATGAGACTGGTGGGACAGAGGGATATAGCTGACATCAGCTTCCTCATCCTCTTCGGCGACGGCATCCTCGACATTGAGCGTCTTGGACTTGGCCAAGAAAGGAGTAATGGAGAATAGTGACTTCTCGCCCAACATCGTCTGCTCAAGACCCTTCTTCTTAGCAGGGCGCCTGCCGCGAGTGATGTCTTCTGGCGTGCCAAGGCTCATGTCGTTCATGGTGACCTCTTCAACTCTTCGCTTCTTGCCGGCCTGCGCCTTTGCGCCTCCGGCACGCGCAGGAAGCTGTGCACTCGGTATCACTGCTGGTCGAGCTCCCAACTCCGCACGAACGGCCTTCAACTCATCCTGAGCGTTGCGCAACTTGGACTTGACCGTGTCTAGGCGCTGTTCGAGCATCTCATTTTGCGTTTGGGCCTCAGATAGAGCCATCTCATGTTCTTTTCGTAGCCTCTCCCGCTCCCGCCTCTCGACTGAAAGCACCTTCTCCATCTCTTGGATCTTCTGAGCCAACTCGCGTTCCGCCTTTTTGGTCTCTTGTCCAGCCTTTGCGGCTGAGACGGCAGCCTCAAGCTCTTCCTGCAATTGTTCCTTTTCACGCTTCTCCGTCGTCAGCTTCTTCTCGACGTCCTTGAGCCTGCGCCGCAAATCGTCTTCGGTCGATTTGTCGCCTTCCGCTTGTGCCGTCTGCTGTTCCCGTGCTCGTTTTTCGGCAGCCAATTCTACTTCAGCCATATTCAGCTGACGCTCTAACTCCAATTTCTCGGCGATGACATTTTGCTGGTGGGCGACTTGCGACCGTAGATGCTCCAGTTCAGGTTTCATGGCGTTCACCTCCCGAGAGAGGGCAAGCTTCTCTGCAAGGACTTTCGTAGAATCTTGAGACAGGCTGCTGAGGGATTCGAGTTCGGCCTGGCACATTCGAGGTTAGGATAGTTCGTCGGGTGTTTCCGAATCGGCGTTCACACCAACCTTGATGTGACCAAATTCCCTCTTCTGAGCCTTAAGCTGTGTGTCCTGATCGCGATTTGTCGCCTTTAATGATTCCAAGTCACTGCACGTTTGGTCGAACTTTTCGGACAACTGGTTGACTTGCGCTTCCCTTTCGGCAAGCTGCTCGCGTAATGTCGCGTTCTCATCGAGAAGAACTTGTTTGGTGACCTTCTGTCTTCGCGTGTCTTCCTCCTTGACGATGAGCTGTGCTTTGTGGATGTGTTGCTGGTGTTTCATCTCGAGCTCGTGAGCCGCAGCGGCCCTCTGTGTGAGAAGTTAGAGACATACCATTATTTACTGTCCGACTACTAGACTTACCTCTTCCGAGTCCATGTTCCTAGTCTTGCAAGGCATAATGGCGGTGTTGTGCAGTTGCTTCTGCGCTGGAAGCGCGTTGACGCGTTGGATTCGGAGGCCCCTAAAGAGGTGTTGTGTCGCTTGAAGCTACGGCGTTATGGTTCAGAAGTCTTCTTTCACCACAATGCGCGATAGTGGAGATGCCCGCGCGTAAATCGATTGAGGTTCGCGATGTCGATGTTGAGATGGTGGTGTGTTTGGGTTGATTTTGAAATGGAGTACCAATGGGCAAGGTAAACATGGTTCCCAAAGCAGTTAGTTCATCGACGCTCCCCCCCCCCCGGCTCCAGGCAGACTGTCTCCACAGTTTCTGAACTATGTACTCCGTACGCTGATGTCTCGGTAAACGGTTTGACGGTTCAGGGTGACATAACACTGGGATAGTTCAGGGTACCTGCTTCCCCTAGGAAGAACCAAAATCCGAATCCGAGCGAGCTACCCCCGACAGCCCCGATCGTGCTTTCCTTCCACACCCCAATCGAGGTACCTTGCCGTACCTTTCGTACTTAAGCCAAAACAGGAACGATACGTACACAACCTTGAGACTTGACCCACTTCTCTGTGGGTTGTCTGCCGCTGTTGAGAGCTGTCCAGTTCGAGCTGTTGAAGTTCAGTGTGTGGCATCTCGACGACACTCGCGGCGCGCACCAGTTTGTTACGCCAGCCCGACTTCAATATCACCAGCAACGGCCAATTGGCCACATCCTCAACCTTTCGATCGCCTCCCAAGCTATTGTTGCGTCTGAATCACCGACGCATCCCTAAAAATGCACTTCCTTCGCTCCCTCCTAGCGGGAACCTTTCTCGCTGCCGGCGTCTTCGCAGCCAAGAAGACCCCCGAAGAACGATTCAACGATTTCCACGCAAAGGCCCTTACCTCGTCTCCGATCAAGCTCGCCGATACCAGCTACAAGTCTTTGACTTCTGCTCCCCGCGATTACACCGTTGCAGTCCTCCTGACCGCTCTCGAGAATCGATTTGGTTGCCAATTGTGCCGCGAGTTCCAGCCGGAATGGGATCTTCTGGGCAAGACCTGGACCAAGGGCGACAAGAAGGGCGAGTCGCGTCTTCTCTTCGGTACTCTCGATTTCTCTGATGGCCGCGAGGTCTTCATGTCGGTAGGAAAACCCAGCCCGGAACCAGGTGATAATGGACTCGGCCAAGAACTGATACGATCACTACCAGCTCGGCCTCCAAACCGCCCCCGTCCTGCTCCTGTTCCAGCCCACCATCGGTCCTCACGCTGTTGCTGCTGTCGATCCTCTGCAATACGACTTTACCAGCGGGTGAGCTATCTGTCTCAAGAACGGAGTACCTCGTAGAATAAGCTAACGACTTAAACAGACCTCAGTCTGCTGAACAGGTTCATGCCTGGCTGTCGAGACACCTTACTGACCGACCTCACCCTCCGGTGAAGCGCCCGATCAACTGGATGCGATGGATTTCTAGCATCACCATTGTCCTTGGTCTTGGCACTGTCCTCGTTACTGCCTCGCCTTACATCCTTCCCGTCATTCAGAACCGCAACTTATGGGCCGCTATTAGTCTCATTGCCATCCTGCTCTTCACCAGTGGCCACATGTTCAACCATATCCGCAAAGTTCCCTACGTTGCTGGAGATGGCCGGGGTGGTATCAGCTACTTTGCCGGTGGCTTCCAGAACCAGTTCGGTTTGGAGACCCAGATCGTAGCTGCTATCTGTTTGTTTACACCCCCCTTCACGTCAAGTCTAAAAGCTAATCAAAAGTAGACGGTGTCTTGGCTTTCTGTGCCATCTCTCTCACCGTTAAGGTGCCTCGTATTGGCGACAACAAGAGACAGCAGGTTGCTGTTCTGGCCTGGGGTGGTGTTCTGTTCATCATGTACAGCTTCCTTCTCAGCGTTTTCCGCATCAAGAACGGTGGCTACCCGTTCTCTCTGCCTCCTTTCATGTAAGGATGCTATTTGACAAGCCAGCACTATCGGAAAGAACGACCTGCGCTAGCAACTTCTCGTCTGGCTTCGAGTTGTTCGCCATCGCTGTTCGCTAGGATAGCCATACCTTGGCAGTGGCCAAGAGCCCCGGTGTCACCATTGACACAAATGTAACATAGCGGAAAGAAGTCACCAGAAACTCATAGAGGGGGTGATTGGACGTGGTAAAATAACGTTCCACGAATTGAACTACAAAAGCATCGTAACGCATTTTTCCACCTCTGTTGGGATTCGTTCACTGTAGTTTCGTTGAGCAAGGCACAAGGGAATGGCTTATGCCCTATCCACAAGTCCCCCTTTGATCGCAATGTGCTTGTGTCTCGCGGTGCTTTGACATTTATACCAGACCACGAGTCGACTCTATCTTTGCATTAGACCTAGGTGATTGGTCTATATTTATTGAGCTCCTTCTCAGTCGCCTCTAGAAACCATGTTCACACGCCCAATGCCTCTTTTGTCCCTCTATCGGGATGCTGCCTCAAGATCAACTAGGTTATTGTCTCGAACTTCCAATTGAATAGTATATTGCGTGAATAATATGAAGCTCCGAACTATCAAGCAACCTCAGATTGGGTTAAACGAGGTTCACGGGACTACGACGCATGGCCTTCACTTATCCAGGTGACTCTTCGGGCAGATTGATAAGCACCGAATTCTTTATTGCTTGTCATGCTGACAGTTGTCTCCTGCCTAACGAGGTTGAGCCCGGGGCCGCATGGCAGCATTTAATATCAATGAATTGTCGCACCATTCTAACTATGGAGGCGAATAGAGGAGGTTTCATCCGGCAGCACCTGACCAATTTACAGTTGAAGTAGCCAAGCCGTGAAGCTAGGATCGGAGTTTTTAGCCGGCCAAGGAGAAATTAAGCACTCAGCACGAGGATTGTCCCCCCGCTGATCTGGGGTTGTTGCCGGCTAAAGTGATGACTACCACCCTAGCTCGTAACACTTTATTTTGTCCTCAGGAACTCTAGAGGAACGAATCACTTTAGTCAGGATTGGTCATTAGCCACCTCGTCTGCTTGGGGTAATACTGTTTTGACTGGAGGCTCTGGGGTGTCTGGAATAATTAGACTCGCCGTATGGTACTGTAATTCTTCGGGCAACATCGATTTCGAATATGCGCACTAGGTCTGCTTCAATTTTCTTTCACTTTCATATGTTTTTGCTATACAACACGTATTCAAAAACAAGGGGATGGGGATATGTGAAAACAGCTGGAAAAAGGCAAGTGAACTGCAAGGTTTACTAGAGCATCAAACTCTCTGCACCTACTGCTCGCCATGGTAAAACAGTTACGCCGGGAGTACTGGATATCTTACGATATCCGGTTAAGACGGCCCGTCCTCGAGGAAATCTGCCAAGTTGGATGGCACCATCACTCGTCCACGCTTGGGATAATTGTGCAGAATAGGAGATCTGCTCTCGAATGGTCGAAACGGAGGTTGGTTTGACGAGGTGACATTTCTAATATTGCAAATACCACAATGTTCTGGGTGCTCTAACCATGATACTAGACTCGTAAGCCAATCATTCCTTGATTATTAGATGAAGTTGTCAATCTGGCGGTGATCTTTGCATCGAGAATCCTTGATCGTGAGGTGCTTTGGTGGACACCGCGTAGCATGAGTTTTGTCCGATTGCAGTCGTGACAGAGCCCATCACCTTGCCCATGGGAACCGCTCCCTTGGCTGGACATTTTTGGTTCGGAGGCTTGAGACCGAAATCAATACAGCCACCGGGCCTGGTGCCTGATTGCCGTTACTCGGAGGTTCAGGGATAAACAAAATGCAAGACTTCGGAGGTTGACCATTCTTTCAAGGTATTACCAGTGTAGATAAATAGTGTCATGGCTCCCGGTGCAATCATGGCTCTCATTAGAATCTCAGCATCGCTACTACAGAGCTCATCATCTTAAGAGAGTATTATTATCATCAAGATGAAGTTCACCGCCGCTACATTGGCGGCTTTGGCCTCAACAGCCATTGCTGCCCCTTCTCAGACGATCAAGGAGCAACCTCGGGCAGCAGCCGCGGCATGCTCTGCCAACGTCTCCCTGGATGCGAAGACCAATGTCTTTTCCAAGTACACCTTACACCCCAACAGCTTCTACCGTGCAGAGATCCAGGCTGCAGCTGCAGCCATCTCGGACAGTACGCTCAAGGCCAAGGCCCTGAAGGTTGCTGACATCGGCTCCTTCCTCTGGCTGTATGTTGGACATCTACGAACCCTTCCTTACGCAATATGATACTGATATTGCAGCAATGCAGTGACACCATTGCCAACATCCAGCGTCTCACGCCCGCCATCGCTGATGTTCCCTGCAACAACATTCTCGGTCTGGTCATCTACGATCTCCCCGGCCGTGACTGCGCTGCCAAGGCCTCCAACGGCGAGCTCAAAGTCGGCGAGCTGAGCCGCTACAAGACGGAGTACATTGATCCCATTGTCAAGATTTTGAAGGCGAACCCCAAGACCGCCTTTGCTCTCGTCATCGAGCCTGACTCTTTGCCCAACTTGGTCACCAACGCCAACCTCGCAACCTGTCAGGCCTCGGCATCGGGCTACCGCGATGGCGTTGCATACGCCATACAGGCTCTCAACCTTCCCAACGTCGTCATGTATCTCGATGCTGGCCACGGAGGTTGGCTTGGGGTAAGTTCAACATCACATCCGTCCAAGCGACATGTTCTCGCACAGTCTTGCTTTTCATATCCTGATCATGTTGTCTGATTGGATTCATAGTGGAACGACAACCTCAAGCCTGGTGCCGAAGAGCTCGCCAAGGCATACAAGGCCGGCGGCAGCCCCTCGCAGCTTCGAGGCATCGCCACCAACGTTGCCGGGTGGAACTCTTGGTAAGTCTAGCTCATATGCTCAAACCTTTGAAAAGTAGGAAACAACGCAGCGAGAGCCATTTCACTGACATCGCGTACTTACAGGGACGCCGAACCCGGTGAGTTCGCCAACGCCCCAGACGGCCAGTACAACAAGGCCCAGAACGAGAAGAAGTACGTCACCCTTCTCGGCGCCGCCCTTCAGACGGCCGGCATGCCCAACCACGCCATCGTCGACACGGGCCGCAACGGCGTTCAGGGCCTCCGTCTCGAGTGGGGCGACTGGTGCAACGTCAACGGCGCCGGCTTCGGCCTCCGCCCCAGCGGCAGCACCGGCCTCGAGCTCGCCGACGCCTTCGTCTGGGTCAAGCCCGGCGGCGAGTCCGACGGCACCAGCGACTCGAGCGCCACGCGCTACGACTCGTTCTGCGGCAAGTCGGATGCCTACAAGCCATCTCCCGAGGCTGGTACCTGGAACCAGGCCTACTTTGAGATGCTGCTCAAGAACGCCAAGCCTGCCTTCTAAATGGGAAAGGAAGGCTTCCGCTATTCTGGCCATGTTGACCGCAGCGAGAACCCTTCATTGTGCTGAGAAAGGGGGCCTCTGCTGAATTTTGTCTTTCACACATGGCCTAGTTAAATTCTCTTCGTATATATACAATGCCAAGTCTTCATATATCTGTATCATTCGTGTCTTATTCTAAGTGATCCAGTGAGGGGCATGGGTCTTGAAAAAGTTGCGACTAGACAACATACGAGAAAGAGACTCGGTCGTCACATCTCACAGCAAGAAGGCCATCGTGCTCATCATGAAGGTAGTTGCTTACCCTGTGTTCTGCATACCATGGGGGGATAGTCGTTGCTAAAATGTCAAGTCTACAGACGTGACGTTGAAGGACGAGTTTTCACAGTCATCACTCAAGGCAGGATTGATGCGAGTGTGAGCTGACCAAGTCAACATCACGAGTTGAATGAACGAGAAACAGGATTTTTTTGAGTTTGCCAGGATCTTTTGATTTGGGCGTTACGGGTTCATGTCCGAGTCCTTTCGTGGGCTACCTATAAGCCAGCCATGCAGTCTCATCCCCAATTTTTCACAAATCGTTTTGACCCTGCGCATCCCGAAAGACATAACGAGGAAGCCAGCCTAGGACGCCCGCCATGATCTACCAAGAGAGCCCTTTCCCCACCACACTTCGTCACCATCATCGCATAACCCAGAGAGAGAGAACAGAAGAGAGCTTCACGCCCGTTTATGCTCTCGACATGACACCCCAGGCACGGATGATGTTGTCGGTGTAACCGGCGAACAGGGTCTGGCCATCGGCGGACCAGGCCAAGCTCACGCACTCAGGCTCACGGCTCTTCTTGCCGACAGCAGTGAACTCGGGCTTGAGCTCATCAACCTTGCTCTTCTTCTCAAGGTCGAAGATGATGATGCTGCTGGCGGTAGCAGCGCAGAGCCAGTAGCGGTTGGGGGAGAAGACAAGGGCGTGGATCTCGTCGTTGGCGTTGAGGGAGTAGAGGTGCTTGGACTCGTTAAGGTCCCAAAGCATGGTGGTACCGTCCTTGCCACCGGAGGCGCAGAGGGATCCATCGGGGGAGATGGTGACGGTGTTGATGTAGCCGGTGTGGCCGATGTGGTCAGTCTGCAGCTTGCAGGTGCTGAGCTCCCAGACCTAGAAATTTACCCTTGTCAGCCATTCTGATCTCTATGGAATTTTCCACAAGGCAAAAGATAAAAATTGAAGGTGCGAGATCAGGGCAATGGTGAATAGTGGTCTCATGGCCTGCACGGCAGGCTCTGAAGTAGCAAATACTTTGGTTGCAAGCATCACGTCGAATCGAGTTGTTGTGGCGATTTCTCCTGGAAAACATAGAAGGGGGTGTTTGAAACTAACCTTGACGAGCTTGTCCCAGCCGGAGGAGACAATGACGGGGTTCTGGGGGTTGGGGCTGAAGCGAACGCAGGAAACCCACTCGGAGTGACCCTTCTCGGAAATGGTGTACTTGCAGTCACCGAGGGTGTTCCAGAGCTTGATAGTGCGGTCGCGGGAGCCAGAAACGATTTGTCTGTTGTCGGCGGAGAAGGAGACAGACAGAACGTCGTTGGTGTGGCCGACAAAGCGGCGGGTGGTGGTGCCGGTGGCAAGCTCCCAAAGGCGGAGAGTCTTGTCCCAAGAGGCAGACAGGGCGTAGGCGCCGTCCGAGGAGATAACCTATTTTCCTTCCCATCAGCCCAGAGTTCCCAGTGATCCTAGCCCAGCCAAAGAGGGCGAAGGAGATTCTTCGTAGAAATCGGAGGGGTTCGAGAGACGTACGCAGTCGGAGACGATGTGGGAGTGGCCCTTGAGGGAGCGCTTGGGGTAACCGTACTGGGACTCGTCACGGGTGAGGTTCCAGATGATCAGAGTCTTGTCACGGGAAGCGGACAGGAGCATGTTGGGGCTGTCGAAGTGTTAGCGATTGCTGTCTTTCGAGATTCTTGGCCTCCTCCCCCGCCGCCGCCACTGTGCAAAGGCTCGCATGTCGTTGCCCATTTCGAAGAATCCCATCCTTCTCGAAAATCAACGTCGGCGGCAGCGGTAGCCAGGTAGGGGTGATCGCAAATGAAGAGGATTGTAGAAATGGTCGTACTTCTCCATGGAGGTAGCCAGGCTGGTGACCCAGCCATTCTGCAAAAAGCATCGCCGTCAGCCTCAAGCACAACGCAAAAATGACCGGCGCAACGCTGCGGCGTGCGGGCAAGTGAGACGGTAACAACTTACGTGGCCCTCGAGGGTACCCTTGAGAATCAACTGCTCAGCCATTGGGAAATGAGGCAATCAGGTCGATTGAGTGGTGAGGGAAAGGTAGAAAGATTGGAGTTGATTCTGAGCGTCACACCTTTGACCCTTGGGGAGCTTGAGCTGAGATTCCGGATTTTGGGTGTGGGTGAAAAAAATTAGCAAACTTCGCTTAGGGCCTGGCAGGTGGAAAGAGCGCCAGCCTTGCTCCTGCTGCGCTTGGTGTGGGTAATCGAGGTGGGGCTTGAGCCAATGGGGATCGCTCGTGGCTACGCTTCTTCTGAAATGCTGACACGAGGCTGATTGGCCCCATATTCGAACAGAAAGGGACGGTACATTAGTACCGACCTCAGAAGAATGATAGCCGTGTCCAATGTTTCGGGCCCATCACAGGAAGTTCAATTCTGCATGTCACTCGCTGCAGGGGCTCGCAGAATAGCAGCTGTTCACCTATCTTTGATCGCAATATGACAAGTCCATGACTGGCGAACTTCCCGCAGATGTACGCGTTTCTCATGCAGATGTGGTCTCCACGAACCCAAAGCTCACTCTCACGACTTGAATCAAATAAATGCCAACGCTCCCGACTCTCGTCCATGACCACTGTTGTATCCTCGGTTTCTCCTAGTCACATCATAACCTTTTATGCGGGGAGCTACTGCTAAGCGCTCTGGGATTGCTGATAAAATTAAGGGTAATCTTGATGATTCGCTAGCTGCCCACGCAAAGTTTCTCACAGCTTTGCTTTTATCCATGCGGTCGCTGTAAAGTGCTCAACCGGATAATCGTATGATCCTCCTCCTGCGTCCCATCTTCATTCCCGGCCAAGAAATGATGTAATCTGCTGGAACTCGTCCACACGATGAAATACCCAAACGCCTTGCTGAATGCATGTCCATTTCCCGAAACAACCAACTTCTGTGTCTGCCTTGACTGGCACCCGACACACTGGCCTATGCAACCCAAGCCCATAAGTTCTGATCATTGCTCATCCTTTTTGATTATGTGGTCGTCCTTGGAAGCACTGGACTCGCGCTTCCGGCCTCTACCGAGAGAGGACGACTAGCTTTGCCCGGCGGCTCGTTTGCTTTGTCGCTGCACTTCTCTGCGCAAATGCCGGGCGTCCGAGTTGACAATCATGCTATGATCGGCAATCTCGAGTTGTTGGCCGGTGGCGCCGCCTTCCTTTTTGACGAAACCTTCCATAGCGGCAGCCCAAAGCGAATAGCGCTCCTTGGTCATAGGATCGCGCTCCGACAGAGATCTGATTTCCTTCTGCTTTCGGACCTTTGCCGCTCGGACCAGGCCTCGAAGGGCCTCCTCTCCTTGCTTCGAGGCCTTGGCCGCCTCTTCCCTTGTCTTTTGGGGGTCACGACCGTTGTCATCTTCCTTGGGTGTGTATTTGTAGGTATGTTTGCTGGGAAAGTCGGGGAAGGACTTTGGTATGTACGACTTGGCTTCCTTCTCGGGCTTGCCGCTCAGCTCCTCGCCGAGGAGAGGTAAAGTTGTATACGCATCCGGATCATCGACCAAAGGATTAAAATATTCCACGTCCAGCTTCGCTTTTGGTACGGGATGACGGAGGTGAGGCCTCAGCGCCTTCGTCTTCAGAGTGTAGCGTCGCATCGTGGACTCGAAGTCCGCTGGAGTCGGCTGCTCCCTTCGTGCTGCTAGAGCGACACGTTTGGTATCGGCGATCATGGAGGCCATGTCTGGACGTCGAGTCAGCGCCGAAAAGCATCAGTTTTCACACAACGTCTCGTAATCTCACAGGTCTCTACGGCCCCCAAGAAGCCCTGCATCGCTTCCGGGGTAGCGGAATCAAAGCCAACTTGCTGCAGTGCCAGTCCTATACTTCTTTCGAGGCCACTTTTTGCTTGATAATCCAAAGAAGGAATGGTGACTTTGGTCGCGCCAGGCAGGCTTGGCTCTTCATCGTCGGCGGCAGGGGAACTTTTTGCCGCGTCGCTATTCGTCTTCTGTCTTTTGATGATTGGGTTCTCATCTTCACTAGACGAGCTCCGCTTGATCGGAGTCGTTGCCGCGGAAGGTGAAGACATGGCCGACGTCGAACAGAGCTCGAGGGTGATGGAGGCGTGTCACGGCGAGGTCGCAAATGTACGCGCAGATGTCAAGAACAGAAGAGTCTGGGCACTTCTATAGATTCAGGTAGAGAAATGCGCGACGGTAATGTATACGGCGCGCGCTCCAAATGTTGGATCTGGGCCTTGGAACGAGGAAGACGCGATGTTGGTGGGAGGAGGTTGTTCGAGGTCCGAGATTCGAGATTGTTTGCGCCTCGGACGGAAGGTACATGAGCTAAGCTACCTAAGGTACCTTAGGTACGTTGCGCGCGAGAATAGGTACGTACCGCCGAATGAGAAAAAAGAAAGGGATTTGGGATGAGGCTCTTTCTCAGTCTTTCTGGGGCTCGGCAGTTGCCCCGCGGCTCACCATCCACTGTAATCGGACTTGCATCCACCCTTCGGGACCCCTTTCAGCGCCTAGGGGCCCTAAGCCAATCATGGATGGGTGGGGGATGACCTGGACATCAACACCCAAGGTGGACGTCCAACACTTTTACCAGAAAAAGGAAACGACTCAGGAAGAGATTATTTATCTCGATGACATTTATCTCTTTATCGCATTACTAACCACTCGCAAGCCCAGAGCGGTGTTTTTCCGCGTTAGATCCCAAAGTAGGATCTCGTCGCAAGATGTGGCATCATCAAACCACGTACTATCCAAGGGGGGGTCTTTGAGCACTTTTGTCATTCACTTTACCTCAGGTACTCTCATTACTATTCTCAAGTCAAAAATGCACTGTCTTCTGCATTCACATTTTCGCAGAGACACAGAGGATACTGTCTAGCGACAAAAAGCTCGCCCTTTGTCTTTCAGCTAGGTAATAGCAGGCACACGTGTAAAACAGGAGGACTTCGTATCTTTACTCACCTTACCCTACATAGTCTAATTAATGCAAGGAGACCCATCTCAGCCAGCCTGTGCTCACTATCTTATCTGAGTCAAGCGCCTCGATGCACCCCTTTCACGACCCAACAATACCTTAGACTTCCTCATAATTTCAATGTCCTAGTGTTCAGTAGCCCTCGTAACTTGTGTCACTCTCTTTTGCCTTTGTCGTTGTCTTTGCTTCCTTAACCCTCTCCGAACTGGCTTAGGGGTGGGATTGGGTTTCTACCTGTCACTTCGGTAACACCAAATAAAATCGCTCACCCGTCCAGTGGCTATTGCAATAATGCAGGATCTTGAAACTCTGCGCAATGGAGGCTATCGCGGCCAAGGTCTGCAAAAGCTCAAAATCACCGGCACTTTAGACCATTTCCCCTCGGAAATCCTAGATCTAGCCGAAACCCTCGACCATCTTGACCTCTCCGGAACCGGGATTTCTGTTCTCCCCGATGACTTCAGCCGGCTGCGCAAGCTCAAGGTCGCCTTCTTTTCCGACTGCCGGTTCGCCGTGTTTCCCAAACAGCTATCAGAGTGCCCCGAACTCGACATGGTGGCATTCCGCTCCAACGGCATGACGACTATCCCAGAAGATTCCTTGCCACCCAAGTTGCGTTGGCTCATCCTCACGAACAATAGCATCGAGGCACTGCCCCGAAGCATCGGCCGCTGCTCTCGGCTCCAAAAGTGCATGCTTGCCGGCAACAATCTCACAAGCCTCCCGGATGACATGGCGGCCTGCAGTAAACTTGGCCTACTCCGCCTCTCCGCCAATAACTTTTCCGACTTGCCAAAATGGCTGTTTGAGCTCCCCGAGCTCGCCTTTCTGTCTGTTGCCGGCAATCCCTGCTGCTCGGTTAGTCTCGAGGAGGAGCTTGCTCTGATGCGCAAAGTGGACTGGGAGGATGTTGATATGAGGGAGTTGCTGGGCCACGGAGCCTCTGGCGATATCTTCAAAGCGAGGTGGATGCTCGCCGACTCGGTGGTAGAAGAGGTAGCCGTGAAGTTGTTCAAGGGGGAGGTGACGAGCGATGGGACACCGCTAGATGAGATGGGCGCCTGCTTGGCAGCAGGTTCGCACGACAATCTCATCAGCACGTTGGCCAGCATCAAGGGCCATCCAGAGAAGCACGGCCTCATCATGCAGCTCATTCCTCCCCATTATCAGAGTCTCGGCCTGCCGCCTTCCTTGGATACTTGCACTCGAGACCGGTACGCACCAGGCAAGAAATTGTCAGGCAAGGTCATTCTTGAGCTTTTGGGTGGCGTTGCCGCAGCTGCTCTTCACCTTCACAGCCGGAAAGTTTCTCACTGCGATCTCTATGCGCATAACATTCTCTTCAACGATGACGGACACGCTTTGCTGGGCGACTTTGGCGCAGCGACGATCTACGAGCACCTCGGCAAATTCAACTTTGAGAAGCTGGAGATACTTGCATTCGCTCACCTCATTGATGACATGATCGGTGTTGCTCATGTCGACGAGAGTGGTGAAAGAAAGCAGATTCTACAGCGCTTGCAGGAGTTGCACATCCGCTGCTCCAACTCAGTCGTCTCTGAGAGACCTACCTTTGCTGACGTCGTCGATTCTCTCCAGGCATTGGCATGAACCCCAACAGCCTGAAAAGGCGATCTTAGCCTGTTGTTTCGGCTTCTGGGGTTCCATGCGGCGAGGTATGCATGGCGGGTCCAAGAGAGGTTTCTGGGCAAGGACACATTAGCTGTGCAGATGCGAACTTCACCTGAAGTCGAGTAGATGGAGTCTTCATAACGAATAGACGCAAGAGATACGACGGGGATGAGACATGGCGCTATAGAATTAGACACAACCTAGACTTAGACGCATTTAGATCCCATCCAAAACAATATTGAGAGTGACCATCTTGATATTTTCCAGTATTTCTTGGAGAATTGTCAGATAAAAACGATAATGCGATTGAGATTCATTGTTCAGGTGAGCTTTGGAACTTCTGCAGTTGTCAGCAAACTGTTGAGCTTTTTTTCTGTAAAGTCAGCGGTAATGACTGATGTGTAAGGTAGTACAGGGACCGGACAGGCGAGAGTAGATAACGGAAGAGCTTGTCTTCACATAGTCGAGATTCTGTTCAGCAATGGAGGGTGGGTAACACGTGTGTGGTAGGTTGCTTCTGTAGAGTTGAAGCTTCTACACTTCCTACTTCGACTGTCACGATGATAGGTAAGAAGGCATGTCCGCCTCCCATAATCCACCCCCCCCCCCAAAACCCGCTACGCCTGTCTTCTACTGTATACACTATGTACTTCAATGTGAGCTGATCAAGGGTCCACCTGTTCTAGCCCTACTGGACCTGGCCTGAGTCCCTGGCCTGACTGACCCCCGCCTACGGCACCCTCCGCTATTCGCAGGTCGCTAGCTCCCCGCTGGACCCACTTCCATATCGGACGAGAGCCGATTCGAGCAGGCGCCCAACCCAATGCCCTGCGCTTCAACCCTCAGTTGCACGATTACGGTCTCGCCCAATTCAAAGACTCACTTCACCGGCTCAGACTTCATCAACCTTCGAGTGCGATGCTCGGTACGTAATAATACGCTACCGAGGACGCAGCATATTTTCACGACGACTGATCAGAAAGCCCTCGGCCTCTGTCCCGCTTGCTTTCCTTACGGTATCCTCTCTTCACTCACCGTACGGTCACTCTCGGCCCCAATTCTACATACGACCAAGACAGCGAACTGATGAAGCCTGCAGCATTCTGTGTACTGGAAACAGCGGCATCTTGGCAGTACCGAGGTGATTGGTTTTCCGACATTGGATAAGCTTATGGGATAATTTACTGCACTTCAACCAACTCGATAAACCCAATTCGAGAGAAGGAAAGGCAGGGAGGTCCCGTCGCCCTGAACACCATCTGATATTCACCACCCGGTCACCACCACAAGTCTGGCCTGGTCCAACTCCCGCCAAGATGTTTCCTTTCGATGTGACCGCCATGCCCACGCTACCGACGCGCAAGGGTCTGTTGGTGATTGACTTCAACAACGATTTCATGTCTGCCGACGGCGCCCTACCAGTCACAAACGGCAACGAACTAATCACACGTACCCTAGAGCTGGTAAAGGCCTTCCGCAAAGTCGGCGATATTATCTGGGTGCGCAGCGAATTCGACAAGTATCGCCTTGCCGCGGGGGAACAGATCTGGGCTACCGACACAATCCCCAAGCCCAAGATTCTCGAGTCCCGTGCTAGAAGAAGGATTGGAGGCGCATCTAAGCAAGCGCCCGAAGAAACTTTCGATGCCGACCCGGAGGCTTTCCTCAGCCAACCTGGACCCAAAGTCGTTCGTTCTGGCACCCCTGGTGCCGATTACCCCGCCGCCGTCAAGGAAGCAATCGGCAAGAGGGATATCAACTTGTCCAAGTCACATTACTCGGTCTTTTCCTCCGGCCAGTTGATCCAGATGATGCGCGTCAAGTTCGTCCACGAGCTTTATATTTGCGGATCGCTCACCAATATCGGCGTCCACGCCTCAGCTATGGATGCCGCCACGTTCGGCTATTCCATCACCTTAGTCGAAGACTGTTGTGGTTTCCGCTCCGATGTACGTCACAACGCTTCATTAACCAAGCTTGTCGAGGTGACGGGCTGCGAGGTGATGGAGAGTGAGGCTGTCATTAAGAAACTGCAGCCCAAATCCGAGTCAAAGCCGGCGGCCCCGTCATCACCCGTCGTGCCCAAGAGGATCGCGGAAGCCAGTGGTGTTAAAACGCCGCCCTCGGCTGATTCGTACAAGACGAAACTCGAAGAGCAGTTGGCCAATCTTTCAATCAAAACTTTAAAGTCCTCAACAAGCAAGCCTCCCATCTCACGCCCATGCCGAGACTTGTCAGGCCTGGACTGTGCAACCGCTTCCGATGTTTTGGAGGTGGATGTGGACGCGGGTCTAGTCAGTGACTCAGACGACAAAGAGGTTCACAAACGATCAAAGAGTCCAATGGTAGGCAAGGGCAGTCTGGAAATAGAAGTAGACACAGACTCGGTACCGGAGAAAACACCTATAAAGAAGCAACAACTTCCTAAGAAAATCGCCGGCGAGAAAGCATCTTCCACGT